GAAGAAAGGGGAATTAGAGGAGGAGGAGAACTGGAATTGCTCACAGGACTTCAGGATTATTATGGATCATTCCCCCACGTACTTTATATTAAAAAAAAACTTGTTTGATAGCTGCATGGACAGAATGAGAAACAGAACGGGTAGCTCCAGGCCAGGTCTATTTCAAGCAGGCAGGAACCTAAACTAGTTAGGTTTTGTGGCCCCAGGGATGCCTGAAAAATTGACAGATCTAAAATAAGGTCAAATCCATTCCACCTGGCTCAGATGTTTTAGGACATAACAACCCTGCTGTGCCCAGGAAAACCAAACGAAAATTGATTCTTTTAGCCCCTATTTCTCAGTCCAATTTTCACTTTTCTTCAGTTTAATGTAGTCTGCTACAGCCCTTAATCAGAAACCTCTCAGTGCAGAAACAAGCCATTTGGCCCAACAAGTCCACACCAACCCTCCAAAGAGCATCCCATCCAGACCCATCACCCTACCCTTGCATTTACCATGGCTAATCCATCTAGCCTGCACATCCCTCGGCGGCATGGTGGCACAGTGGTTAGCGCTGCTGCTTCACAGCACCAGGGACCCGGGTTCAATCCCACCCTTGGGCGACTGTCTGTGTGGCGTTTGCACATTCTCCCCATGTCTGCGTGGGTTTCCTCCGGGTGCTCTGGTTTCCTCCCACAATCCAAAAGATGTGCAGGCTAGGTGAATTAGCCATGCCAAATGTCCCATAGTGTTCAGGGATGTGTAGATTAGTTGGGTTGCAGGGGGATGGGTATGGGTGGGTACTCCGAGGGTCAATGTGGACTTGTTGGGCCAAAGGGCCTGTTTCCACACTGTAGGGATTCTATGATAATTACTACGGGCAATGTAGCATGGCCAATCTACCTAGCCTGCACATCTTTGGACTATGGGAGGAAACCGGAGCACCCGGAGGAAACCCACGCAGACACGGGGAGAATGTGCAGACTCCACACAGACAGTCACCAGAGGGTGGAATCAAACCTGGGTCCCTGGTGCTGTGAGGCAGCAGTGCTAACCACTGAGCCACCGTGCTGCCCAATGCTAACGTTTCACTGCTAATTTGTTCTTGGGGTACGGACATAGCAAGGCAAACATTTATTGTCCGATCAGAAGTGCACGCGAATGAGATGAAACGATGGTAAGTTGCCTCCCGGGTGCCAGGGCCCGTGATGTCTCGGATCGTGTGTCTTCAAGATGCTTAAGGGGGAGGATGAGCAACCAGCAGTCATGGTACACATCGGTACCAATGACATTGGTAGAAAAAGGACTCAATGTGAAAAACGAGTACAGGGAGTTAGGTTGGAAGCTGAAGTCCAGGACAAACAGGGTAGTTATCTCTGGATTACTACCAGTGCCACGTGATAACGAGGTAAGAAATAGGGAGAGAGTGCAGCTAAACAAGTGGCTACAGGGCGGGTGCAGGAGGGAGGGCTTCCATTATGTGGATAATTGGAGCACCTTCTGGGGAAGGTGGGACCTGTACAGTAAGGACGGGTTGCATCTGAACCGGAAGGCCACAAATATCCTGGGAGGGAGGTTTGCTAGAGCTGTACGGGATGGTTTAAACTAGTTTGGCAGCGGGTGGGGAACCAGACTTACCTCATTCTCTGAATTGTGAGGTATTCTGCCTTCCAACAGACACAACAGGGAGTGAGGTTGTTTATAAAGAAATGCGGTCGATGGAGCGTAATTGTGGACAGAGATGGTTTGAGGTGCGTATACTTCAATGCAAGAAGTATCAGAAATGAAGCGGATGAACTTAGAGCATGGGTCAGTACTTGGAACTACGATGTTGTGGCCATTACAGAAACTTGGGTAACTCAGGAAGAGGAATGGATGCTGGAAGTTCCGGGATTTAGATGCTTTAAAAGAAATAGGGAGGGTGGAAAGAGAGGTGGGGGAATGGCATTGCTAGTCAGGGCTAGTCTGGCAGCTACTGAAAGGCAGTTCGAAAATGTTTTGTCGACAGAGTCAGTTTGGGTTGAGGTCAGTAACAAGAAAGGAGCAGTCACTTTGTTGTTTTTTTTTAAAAAAACAGACCCCTTAATAGTTGCAGAGGAGCGGATTGGGAGGCAGATACTGGAAAGGTGCAGAAGTCACAGGGTTGTAGGCATGGGTGACTTCAACTTTCCAAATATTGATTGGAAACATTTTAGTTGTAATAGTTTGGATGGAGCAGATTTTGTCCAGTGCGTTCAGGAAGGATTCCTGACACAGTATGTAGATAGAACAACACGAGGAGAGGCCACTTTGGATTTGGTGGTTGGCAACAAACCGGGCCAAGTGTTAGACCTGTTGGTAGGAGAGCATCTTGGCAGTAGTGATCATAACTCTGTTTCTTTCACGATAGTCATGGATAAGGATAGGTACATACGGCAGGGTAAAGTTTATAATTGGGGGAAGGGTAATTACAATTCAGTTAGGCAAGAACTGGGTAACGTAAACTGGGAACAGATGCTGTCAAGGAAGAGCACCACAGAAATGTGGAGATTGTTTAAGGAATGCATACTGCATGTGCTCCATATGTTTGTCCCTAACAGGCAGAGAAGATGCGGTCAAGTGAGGGAGCCTTGGTTCTCAAGAGAGGTCGAACGACTGGTTAAGAGGAAGAAGGCAGCTTATGTAAGGTTTAGGAAAAGAGGAACGGAAAAGGCTCTAGAGGGATACAAGTTAGCCAGGAAGGAGCTGAAGAAAGGACTTAGGAGAGCTATAAGGGGGCATGAGAAAACCTTGGCGGATAGGATCAAGGAAAACTCCAAGGCTTTTTACACGTATGTGCAGAACAAGAGAATGACCAGCGAAAGGGTAGGGCCGATCAAGGATTGTAAAGGGAATTTGTGCACAGAGCCTAGAGATAGGAGTGGTCCTTAATGAATACTTTTCTTCAGTATTCACAACTGAGAGGGACCTAGTTGTGGAGGAGGACGTTGTGAAACAGGCAGGTAGGCTAGAGGAGGTTGATATTAGTAAAGAAGATGCGCTAGGAATTCTGAGGAAGTTGAAGATAGATAAGTCCCCTGGGCCTGATGGGATTTATCCAAGGATTCTATGGGACGTGAGGGACGAGATCACAGGGCCTTTGGCGATGATCTTTTCGTCCTCACTGTCCACGGGTATAGTGCCAGAAGATTGGAAAGAGGCAAACGTCATTCCCTTGTTCAATAAAGGGAACAGGGATAACCTCGGAAATTACAGGCCAGTTAGTCTTACGTCAGTGGTGGGCAAATTATTGGAAAGGGCTCTAAGAGACAGGATTTATGATCACTTGGAAAGGCACAGTTTGATTTGTGATAGTCAGCATGGATTTGTGAGGGGTAGATCATGCCTCACAAACCTTATTGAATTCTTTGAAGAGGTGACCAAACACATGGATGAAGGTGGAGCAGTGGATGTGGTATACATGGATTTAAGTAAGGCGTTTGATAAGGTTCCCTATGGTAGGTTCATGCAGAAGGTA